CCCCCCCCCCCCAGACAGGAGCAAATTGTTTGAGTATTTTAGTATTATGCGCTGAAAATTGCACCACTTTTGAGCCGAAGTTACACAAAATTTGAATCTTTTTTGGCTCGGGATTTCTTTTGCGTTCCAAATCGTCATTGAATATCGTTCTGTGTAACATCACCATCTATGACTATGAATATTTGCAACGATCACTAATTGCTATTATTTGCATACATTTGATTGATAACAATATTCTATGCGTCTACGTTCAACGACAAGTTCTAACTGAGGGCTTTGTGTGTTAAAACAATGCTTTTATTAAATTAACCAACAAAACTGAATGGGTTAGCTATAATTATGAAATTGTTGTGTTGCTTTGTAGAATAGACAAAGACAACAACTTCCAAAATCTCCTGAACTGAACAATAAAATATGGCGAGATGACATATAACCAACAGCTTGTCATGATAGGTCTTAATTTCATTGAATTTCACGACCTCCCAACTCGATTGTTATCGTATTTATTTTTTATACAATATAATTATAATAAAGTTTCGCGGTGATAACAGTGCCCTCACCAATCTCAACATGAATCTCACGAGAAGTATTTTTATTTCAATGATGTGCTTGAACTAGACGTTTGGGCTTACACTGGCAAACAGTCTATTTAAACATGAGTGAAATACAATGTTATATGACTTGTATGGCAACTATAGCTAAATGTTCCCAACATCATGATGTATCTATGACTTCGAGCCAATGCAATTCGAGGACTCTCAGTACTAATTGATTTCTTTTTAGTGCAACCGATCTTTCCTTCAGTAAGAGTAACCATACAGTTAATATGATTTGTCCTTTTAGGGTAGAGAATGTATTTGAATAATTGTAGGCATGTGTCGAAGAGCCATCACGGGTTCATATAGAGGGCTATTTTATTAAATAATTTAGCCACTCAAAACGAAAAGTTGTATGGGCCTCATATTGTTTTTGCGTAAGTTAAAGAAACACTCACCCAAAAGGTTTGTTGAATTTATATATTTGATATATAAATTTTTGTTGATGGAATTGCGAGTTATTGCGACTTAATTCATACATGAGCATCTTGCCTCTCTCATTTAATAGATCAGAAAGCTTGCTTACAGAAGTAAATTCCTTACCCTACGAAGCTGAACATATTTATTGTGAATAAGAATTTATCCCGCTGAGCTATAGAAATTGTTGCGCTTCAGAATAGATTGACAATTGATAAACTCTTAGTTGCAAACATTTTTGCTCGTCATACAGCAGTTCAGATTATGTGACTGTACACTATAGTCATAAATTGATACTAAATATGACTGGTCGGTTTCGTGGCCTGGTGACATATAGTTCCTCGTCTTCTGGAATCTGTATTTGGTAAGTGCTTATATGTCATGAAATAGATAAAGCAAATTATAGACGTCTTAATTAAAATAAATAATAATTAATAATACAAGTAATGTATTGAAGAGAATTCCTATTTGTACCGATTTCTGAAAGGTGAAAAATTGAAATGTAAAGTTGACGTTGAAATGCAACCACCTGCAACAAGTGGAGACCAATCCAAAGCAGCTACCTGCCAGTGCTTATACTGGGCATATTTCGAGAAGGCGTAATTATGAGAATATATATATATATATATATATATATATATATATATATATATATATATATATATATATATATATATATATATATATATATATATATATATATTGGAAACATGGGAAACCACAACATTCACATACAACATTGCCAGACTAATAGCTGGCTATACGCATTGAAGGATTAACCTCCGAAATGCAACTAACATCATAACTTAACAAGTCGTTCTCAGCTTGACCTTGTAGCTCAGAAGGTAGAGCATCGTTCTAGAAATGCGAAGGTCGCGGGTTCGAATCGCAACCGCGGTCAAGTAGAATTTTCTGCTTGCCCGGTTTGGTATACACTCGTCTGAAAAACAACTCAAAAAAACGATATATATATATATATATATATATATATATATATATATATATATATATATATATATATATATATATATATTTATATATATATATATATATATAT